TTTTTTTTTCATGGATTTTACTATTGCTATGCCACCACTTCTAATAATAAAAGTCTCATTCCTCTCATGAAGTCATAAGTAAAAATGTTACATAAATCTATGGTCAGGTCTCTGACTTTAATGAGATTTTCTAAGATGTCCCATTAACAAAATTTGAGAATTGTGATACTGGTACATTTTACCAAGAATGATACCAATGCATGTTATCAAGAATGAAAAAGTTAAGTAATCCTTTTGTTAGTTAAGTGTTCAAAACAGGATCCAGATCAGCATCCATGGCCATCAGACCTAAATGTTCCTTAAAATACTCCCATAATGTAGCTATCAGCATCTAAACCAATACTTTAACATTCCAAAGAAAACATTCAACTTAGCAATCAACCACAATATTCATTTTTCACTGAGAAGACAGAACAAGACAGGGAGGGAAGGAGTGAACAAGAGCCAAAGGGAGAGAGGGGATGAAGAGAGAAGAGTTGAGTTTGGAGATCTTGTTAAGAACTAGGATAATGCTTTAACACACCCCCAAGCCTACCTTCTGGATACCAAGGCTTTGTTTGAGGAGGCCATTCTTTCTCTTCACGACAAAATGACCGGTAATCAGGACAGCAATCAGAATTTTCCCTTTCACAGAATTTATCACAGTAACACAGTGCATTCAGCTCATAGAACTGAGTGACACAGCCATCATCTCTGTCTTCACAACAACCAAAACTTCTACAGTATTGCCCTTTGAAAATGGCTCTTTTCAATCGAGTACCTTCCAAAATGGTGGCATTCCTAGTGAAACCAGCTCCCAGGTCCACTTCTTTTCTAGATAAGTACTGTTTTTCCATCCAAATTTCTGTAGTAAGATAAGAGAAGATTAAGATCTTATATCCACTCCACATTCTCTAAAGGTCAGACTGACTTCCACTTTCTGCTATCTTCAGTGGCCTTGGCCTTAGGGGCTTCTCCTGGAAGCCAGAATTCTAATCATTAAGACAACCCAGGCTGAATCTTGAAACCAATCCTTTACTGGAACTGAGTATACTTCTTGTAGTTAAACATTAATCAAGAAGTTCTATGTTTTCCCAAGAGAGTATATGTGTTAAAATAGGCCATTGTCATTCCTACAAAGTTAAAAATTTACAGTATGTCATATCATGTACAACATTCTCATCACTATAAAAGTACATAAAATATTGTATATAGAAGGTACATTGATTATTACTTGCCTCTAAAATATCTAGATTAAGTCAAAACTTCTCTAAATAAACATAGCCCAAATAATTGGCTGTAATAATCACTGGCAAAATATAGGAAACTCAAAAGTCAAAAACACAATTATTCAGCTACTTGCATGGCAAATAAAATCCAGCCTCTCATGAGCTTGCCTGCTAAGATCTGTCATACCAATAACAGTTTCTCTAAATCATGCCCAGTCACACACAGGCTTGATTTCCCATCTGTACTCAATTTACCAATGAGAATCATTTTGATTTCAAGGCTTAGTGGGGCCTAATTTGGCTAGAAATTCCCTCAGGGTGACCTTAGTTCTCTTTATTTGAGACCTTACTTGGCATCACTGTGGGAACCTGCAGTATCTGAAAGGCAGTAAAACCAAGAAAAGTCAGTTACTCTGTGCTAAAAAGCTGTGGGTGGAGGGAGTGGTGAAAGAAACTCAAAGGTCAAGATGTCTTTAGCATTTCTGTAGAGCTGTGCATTTACAATGACTTTTTCTATACTGTATTTATTCATTAACTACAATAGCTCCCTTTGGATTGGGGATAAATAACTAGCAGGCTATGATTCACCAGAGTGGTTGAGTGGTCTATTAGAAGGGACTTGACAATCAGAAAACATGGACTCTGGCCCCTGAGCTACTATTTAATTGATTTTGTGACCTTGGGTTCACCATTTACTTCTCTAGTCTAGTTATTTTTCTGTAAAAGGAAGGTCTTCCTCTTTATGTTTAATTCAAAATTCAACATTGGTTTGCTCCACAAGTTAGTTGAATCAAACTTTTATTTACATTTTTTATTAGTAGTTTGAAATCTTTTTATGTTTAAATGATTAAGTAAAATATGTTAGTAAATTAATTTAAATAAATAAATTTACTTCTTTATTTAGTAGCAGAACTGGGTACAGGCCAGAAGTGCAAGGGGTGAGAGGATTCACCAGAGACAGAGTGGGGAGCAGAAAAGGTGGATTCACTGAAATACACTGTTGAGGGTAGCGGTGGGTGAGACAGGAGAGGTCTGCTGTACCAGATGTGGGTCAGCTCCCTGGCCAGGGATCTAACTCAGGCTATCAGGGTGATAGTGCTGACCCTAGGCCAACAGGGAGGCCCCTGTTTGGGTTTATGAAAGTTTTCATTAGTTTGCCTTTGGTTTACAATACTACACATGTTCCAGAGCCTTTATCCCTCAAATATGTACAGCCACTGAACCCACCATCATAGTTGTAGTGTCATTTGCCATTATCTAATTGACTTCCCCAACCCTGCTCCTCTGATAACTACCATATTTTTCTGAGTCCAAGAGTTATTTGTTTAGTAATTCATATTTTTTAAATTTATACTCTAAATGAAGCCATCTCTTTGTCTTTGATTTATATTGCTTAGCATAATCACCTCAATTTTCATCCATTGATTGGGAACATCATTTTTTTTCCTGGCATCTTCTTCTCAGGCTATATCTCTTCTTTTTTTTTTCTTTATATTTACATTTATTTTGGTTTTATTCTCCATAATTCTGTCTCTCCAATCCCAAAACTGCAGCTTCCACTTCTTTGAAATCCACTGCATCACTAAACTACTGTTCTACTTATTGCCATTTCCACAAACCAATTGTCCATCTATATCATACATGAATCTTCTGCAGCATTTAGCACTGTATGACACACTGAATAACAGGAGCCTGAAGGTAGACTGACAGAGTTCAAATTCTAGTTTCACCATTGCTGAGTAACATGTCTTGGAGAAAATGACTCACTGTAAGCCTCAGTGTTCCCACCTGCATATGTTAGATATCAAGTGGGCAGAGAATTTAAATGAGATGATACACAAAGTATGAAGCATGTTACACTTACTACACAGATGTTAGCTTTCACTAACAGGCATAGTTTTCCCCTGATTTTCCCCCCATTCTTCATAAGGCTCTCAACTTATTGTTTTACTCTTGCACTTGACTTCTTTCCCTTCGCAATGATCATTTAAAATGTCTCCACAAAACTTCTTATCCCTCTCTCTTATTACTCATAACTCATTTTCCCTCAAAACTCAGAATCCTGAGTCAACTTCAAAGTCTTAGGTTTTAAAAGACCCAATACCTGTTGAATCTTCACACTTGTTACAACCTTGAACTTAAGCTGCTTTATTCCTCCTCCCTCCAAGCCATTTTCTCCCTTGTTCATATTAGTCTAGAAATCTCAGCAGCCTTCTTGTCATATCAAACATGGAAGTACACTCCTGTTTAAGGGCCTCTCTACTGGCTGTTCCTTTGCCTGAAATATTCTGCCCCAGATATCCACATGGTTCAATCTCTGCAGTTTTAAGTCTTTTTTCAAATGAAACCTTCTCAGAGAGGCCTTGATCATAGCCCCTATCAAAAAACAAACAAAAAGAAACCACAGCGCCTTTCTGTTCTCAGTATTTTCTTATCCACTCTCTGTGCTTATCACATACTAAATTTTTTGTTAATTTCATTTCATTTCTGTATCTCCTCTCAAAAACCTAAGTTCTACAAAATTATAGAAAATTGCCTATTTGTAATTTGTTAACTATTATATCTCTACCATTTAGAATAGTGCCTGACACATACTAGACATCCAATACATATTTATTCAATAAATGATTTTTACAATTTGCATTTCTGATCCTGTACTAACTACTGTTGGAGATGATCCCTCAGTCCCTGGAACTAGTGTTGCTACAAATTTAGGAGATTTTTTTCTTAGCTGAGCTTTTTCATATTGCTCAAAGTTTTGTTTTGTTTTGTTTTGTTTTGTTTTGTTTTTTAAACTTGTTTCCCATTCCCCTTTGTGGCAACTATATACCTCCTTGCTTTCTGAACTTACTCTCTCACTATCTAAAGGTAACCTTGCAGAGGTTACCAAGAAAATAAAGGGAGCAAATACTAATCTCACATTTTCCAATCATTAAATCAGTTTGATTGCAGATAGTCTATCTGCCTTTGCAGCCATGCTGCTTCTTTCCAGACTCCAAAAATGAGTTATCATCTTGTTTAACAATTCAACCTAAAATTTTTGTCCACACCACTTATTTTATTCCCTCACTTTTCTCTTGGTTTTGATTCATCTTCAACTTCTCTTTCTTCTGATTCCTGAGTCTGTTAGTAGTTTGTAGCAGACACTGTTTTCACCCTGCCTGACTTCTCCTTTTTAATTTAGGACAAGCTAGATGAAATGCCAATGGTTTGAGTTATTGGCCAGTGCCTACTCCTTCATGTCCCCTCCCTCTACTACAGAATAAACCAGAAGTGCTGAAGAATTAATATCCTTTTGTATGCAAGAAGAAGGCTTTAAACACCAAATAGAAGAAATGATAAATAAGTGCCCCACTGTCCTTACTGTCAGACGAGTTACCTCTAATTGTCACAGATGACTAGTCATCAGCCAAAGGTAGCAGCAGGTTTCCATGATGAGAAGGAACACAAATAAATAAAATAGTTTATCACTGTCTGATAAGTATATATACACAGTATCTCATGTTAACAAATTTGACCTAACTTAACAAAAGTTTTTTTAAAATCCTTGAGAGAAATGTCTCAATGAAGGCGACATACATAACACAAGTTCTACTTCTGATGTAATCCTTTAGGCCAGTTTTCATTATGGGTGACTTTGCCTGCCAGGAGAAGTTTAAAAATGGCTGGAGCCAGTATTGTCTTGAATAGAGATTAGAGAAGTGCCACAAGCATCTTGGAAGGGTAAAGACTAGGGGAAGCTGCCAAATATCCTAGAATGTCAAGGGCAGAGCCCAAGAATTACCTCCCTAAAAGCATCAATAATACTGAAATTGAGAAACCTATAATATACACACTATAAAATTTTTAAAGGCGCTAACAAGAAATCAAAGAAAATATTAAATTATGTTTGTCATTTGAATTTATATAAAGGTTGATCAAATGGACCTCCAATAAATAGTTGTGTTGAGATATTAACTAATGACAACAGTCTATATATACAGGAGTGTTGTTTCAAAAACACTGAGTGAAGTATATGTGTAAACATCAAGGTTAGGATCTTCCATGCCACACCTTCTTCCAAAGTGAGCATTCTCCTAGAATGAGCTTTAGTACAGATGAGAAAAAATGGTGTCATATTCTCTGTTCTTGGGATTTATACAACCTCCATTTAACAAGGAACAATGGAAGGAATATGGAGCCTCTAGATTTTCCTTGGGAAGAATGAAAATAATCAAATAATTTTATTAATACAAGACATTAACTAGATGCTGTAAAAAATGTACTAGAGATTTTGGCCATATTTATAATTGGAAGTTTCCAGACTAAATATAAACTGGAAAGCAACTGAAAGAGATAGGAAGATAAGTTTGCTGCAAACAACTTAACTTATTGACTTAAATTCTATCTCTAGAGATGTATTTCATTAAATTATGGGGGCTGCTGAAATGCCCTGCAGTAGTAAGTGCACTTGGTGAGATAAATAAGATTAACTCACTTTTGTGGGCTTCTACCTTAATGCCTTAACATTTGAAGCCCTAAAATAGTCTCAAGAGGTGATGAAAAGGACTGAAGGTAACAAGAAAAGAGCCTCCCAGAGATTATGTTACCAATCCTTTGCCTTGATGTGGACAAGGCAGAAGTGACTCAAAATTCATAATGACAAGACCCAAGAAAAAACACAGGAAAATACATAAAAGCAAAAATGGCAGTCTACAACAGAAAAGTATGAAAAAAAGTTATTGGAGGAAAAAGTTGTACATATGCAATGAAACAGTTTTCTTTCACATAAGAATTCATATTTTTAATATATTTAAACTTGAAACAGTGAGAAATACAAAGCTTACCT